GACCTCCGCCGCTCTCTCGACCAGTAGGCCCAGATACTCGCTATGCTGCAGCAGCAGAATCAGCGAGCAGACCAGTTCGAAGCTTGGCATCAGACCCAAATGCAACAACTTCAAACCGGCCAAGCCACCATTACTGAGAGCCTGGCGAATCTGACTTTGCAGGTCGAAGGACTCCGTGACACCGTCTACCACACCGGAGCTATGACTTATGAGGACCGAGTCACCCTGGCCAGAGCCAAAGGACGCCAGCACGGACGTGACCGAGGCAGCGGACGTGATTAGTTATCATTTTCCTTATTTGTTTACTATATTTCCAGTTTATTTGTACTTTCATTTCCGTTGTATCTCCCTCTCGCATGTTTCTAAATCAGTGGGGACACTGATTGAGATAGTGTGGGAGCGGAGCGTTTATATTCATTCCACTGTACTTTGAATTTCGTAATTTCTATTTAAACATTTTCTATTTTTAGCAAATAAAGCTCGTTTATATATCCTTTTTCCGTTACGCAAACATCCCCACGTTATTCGACGTAAACAACAAATTTTTTTCGTTCGTTCCTCAAAAGCAAAAGCATCACGAGAATGCACCCGAGTTCAAACCAAGTTTTGAAACTCCGAGGAGACGACAATTCTAACAAAACCAGTATCATCTTGACACCTTAGATCTCCGGTTTATGCGAGTCGGTTTCACTACCTACGTGTACCAAAGTCTCAAGTGTCTATGCAAACTCAGCCCCAAGTAGTTTATACTAGCAGTCAGCACCATCCTAAAACACTTCTAAGCAAGCGACCGATGCAAATAAGTGTATGATCTCCAAAAAGATGAAAAATCATGAAAAGAAAGCTAGATAGCCCAAAAATATAAGACACGTTTCCTTCTAAGTTAGGTGCTCCTCACCCGAGCATTTAGCCCAACGGCACGAAAACTCATTGAAAAATCAATGAAATAAGCTTATGATCAATGAAGAAGATCAAAAACAGAAATGAGATCATATTCACTAACAGGTCGACTTGCCATGAAAGTGTATGGACAACGGGCTTAATGTGATTGCGCTAGAACAAACAGGGTGAACTTGCGGCGAGAACCTTGACACCAAGCTACAGTAGCATGACTGGGACCGATTTGCATAAGAAGGAGACCTTCGAAGACTTGTAGTCCAGTGTCGTCATGATACTCGTTTTGTTCTTACCAAGAATCCCGGTTTTTCCCAACTTTGCAAATGAAGAAGTTGCCTCGTGCTTGCCGACTTTTTCATGTTTTACTTGAGGACAAGCAAAGATTCAAGCTTAGGGGAGTTTGATAACACGAAATCGTATATATATTTTGATGCATAATTCAACTAAAGTTTAACTGTTTTCGATCCGATTTTGGGTTATTTCTGTGTTGTTTGTCTGATGTTTTGCAGGTATTTGATGATCACGTCTAAACAAGGCAATATGAAGAAAAGAAGCAATCTCAGATGAAATATGGACGAAAACCGGGTGAAAACATCATGAAAAGCGCAGAATGTTGTTTTTGCTGCTGTGACGACCGTCACAGCTCCACGACGACCGTCACACGGGTGACGACCGTCACACCTTGTGACGACCGTCATGCAGGAAAAAACGCCCCACTTCAGTTTCACGTAAAAGAAGCAGTTCCAAGTCCCAAATAGTGGACCACTACTCCCTGATTATTCTGCCTCAAAGTCCACTCTCTTCAATTATAACCGTTAGAATTCCAATTCTATAAAAAGGGAAGAAGGGGACCTCAGATAGAGAGCCGCATTCATACAACGAAGTGCTTCCAATTTATTTCCAGAGCAACCTTTCTAGTTTTTAATATTCTTATTTATTTCTCTTTGCTTTTTATGCATTCATTTCATTCTTCTGTAATTTCTATTTCTGTTGTACGATCAAATTGGCATAAAAACCAGAATCCTGCCAACATCTGTGGAGGATCTGCCCAAAGGCCAATTGGAATATTTACAGGTTTCTCATTTCAATCGTAATTCCAGTTTTATTATGATGCATGCTATTATTTATTGTTTTTATTTATGTTTTACCTTTCCCAAATTCATGTCTAGCTAAATTTAAGTAATCGATATGTAGTAATAATTCGAAAGGGATTTGATAATAACTGGTTGAAAATTCTCTTTTCAAAAGTAATTTATGGTCTGAGTGTTTAAAATTAATTTACTGAATAAACTTCGTCGCGAAAGCGAGAACTTATTTAAAAGTAGTTTTGCCACGAAAGTGGGAAATTAATTAAGATACGAACCAACAAGCGAAAGCTGCGGCAAGATCAGATAGTAAACACTAGTCACTCATTTTAATTACAGCGAAAGCACTTTAAAATGAATTAGAACTTAGAGATTTCCAAAAAATAATTTTAACCCCGAATGGGATACGAAAGTGTACGTTTGGCCCTTAGAATTATGATTAGCGTCAATAACCATCGTGAGGCGAGAGTCTTCAAATCACCATTTTCTGCTTAAATAAACTCTGAAAATTATTTCATACACCGGTAACTTGTCAAATCCCCGAAGAACATAATTACTGCATATCGATTCAATCAATTATAATCTAAGTAACATTCTTAGTTCCCTTTAGTGACAAATCTTATTCCCTTAAACATATTCTACCTAGCTAAACATAGTAACTCCCGAGAACACTAGTTTGATTACGAGTCCCTGTGGGATCGATATCTATTATTACTACGCGATAGACTGTGCACTTGCAGTTAGGTTGTATTAGACGTAGAAAGTCGCGATCAAGTTTTTTCGTCACACCTTGTGACGGTCGTCATGGAGCTGTGACGGTCGTCACAGCAGCAAAAACAGCATTCTGCGCTTTTCATGATGTTTTCACCCGGTTTTCGTCCATATTTCATCTGAGATTGCTTCTTTTCTTCATATTGCCTTGTTTAGACGTGATCATCAAATACCTGCAAAACATCAGACAAACAACACGGAAATAACCCAAAATCGGATCGAAAACAGTTAAACTTTAGTTGAATTATGCATCAAAATATATATACGATTTCGTGTTATCACTTATCATCATTGTCACAAGAGAAGGCAAGCTACTGGTTGTGTTAATTTATTTTGGAACTCTGTCATCCCTTCTTCTCATTCAATTTTATTTTGGAGACTTAGTTTAAATAGATTACCCACGAATGACATTATGTTAAAATGTGGTATTTACATTCCGTCGGTGTGTAACTTGTGTTTCCAGTAAGAGGAATCTCTCCAGCATCTTTTTTTTGTTGTAATTATGCAGTGCAGGTCTGGGATTGGCAATATGTTAAACATCCCTTCCAAAATTGCTAATTTTGTCAATTGTTTGTCGACTTTGGAGACTCCAACCATAGCTCAATGTCAGGTGTTTATCCGAGCTACTGTTGTTGCTGTGATCAACGAGATTTGAAGGGCGCAGAATCATGCTCGGTTTCATAACAAGCACTTTCCTTGGAAAACTACTATAACTTCCATTTATTCATTTTCACAACTTGCTGGAAATTCTACTTCTGGTATTTCTGCAGTGGGCATAATGGATTTTAAAATCCTTAAGAACTTTTCTGTTATTATCAAGGTTCCAAGGCCAACAGTGCGTAAAGAAATCATTTGGTGCCCTCCCTCTAGAGGTTGGATTAAGGTAAATGTTGACGGCACTTCTAGTGGTGTTCCGCTAAAGTCGACTTGCGGGGAATTTTTAGAAATCATCTTGGAGATTCTGTTGGGAGTTTCGCTTGTTTTCTCGGCCAAGAATCTGCCCTTTATGCGGAGCTTATGGGTGTAATTCTGGCTATGGAACAGGCGTTTGCTCATGGTTGGGATAATTTATGGATCGAATCAGATTCGAAATTAGTTGTTTTGGCATATTCACTAAACCTTCTGTAGTGCCTTGGAGTATCAGGAACAAATGGGACAATTGTATACATTTAATTGTTAATTGTAATTTTTTGGTTACTCATATATATAGGAAATGTAATCACGGTGCTGATAAGTTGGCTAACATATGTTTAGATATCCTTAATTTTATTTAGTGGGATGACGTTCATTTATACGGTAATTAAACCAGATTTTCTTAGAAACAGGTTTGGTTTGCCTAACTTTAGAATCATATAGGTTTGAGGTTTTGTACCTACTTCTTATATATATATATATATATATATATATATATATATATATATATATATATATATATATATATATATATATATATATATATATATATATATATATATATATATATATATATATATATATATATATATATATATATATATATATATATATATTCAGGGCTAATGTCCATTTATTAAAAAAAAGAATGAGAATGAGTTTTGACTCGTTTTAGAATAAATAGCATTCAAAGATGCATTTCTATAATCTACACGAATATACATTTCTATAATTTTTCATATTAAGTCAGAATTCTATTGACTTAGTTAAGGTGCATCTGAAAATTATTTTTAAAATCTAAATATATTTTTATTTTTTTCACGTGATACCCTAATAATACAAATGATTCATTACAAAAATTCTCAAAAAATTATTTTGAACATTTAAAACCCTTAAAAAAATTATTTTAGACATTAAAAACTCTTAAATTGGACATCTTTATGACACATAGACATTTATGAGTTTTGAAGTGTGATTGATATACTTATTATATTATAGATATATATAGATTAAAAAATAAAAATATTAATAATAATTAAGAATGTAATAAACTTGGACGGAGGAAAAAAAAAAGCAGAAATATAGTAATTAACATCGATAATAAATATATAAAATAAACCAAAAATTTAGAATTAGAGTTATTTATAAAATTGGGGAAATATGTGACAAAATTTGATTGGGCAAAAGAAGAAGAGTCCAGTTCATTAATAATAATATTATTTTTATTTTTATTATCCATATCAGTGAGTGAGTAGCAGAGCGGTACAATCAAGCAAGCAATCCCTAGATATTTTCATTCTGTAATAGAAACAAGCCAACGCAGCACAATCGAGCATGATGAGCACAACGAGTAGCACTACAATTGCAACAATGGCGGCTCCGTTGCCGTTCACCAAGTCCAAGATTCAGAGAAGCAGAAGAATTGCGACGATGGTAAGGTGCGACGTGGAAGGAGATTCATCTTCAGATTCATCACTGAAGATTGGAGCGCGTGTTAGGGTAAAAGTTCCTCTGAAAGTGTATCATGTTCCTAAAGTTCCAGAGGTTGATCTCAGCGGCAGGGAAGGTAACATCAAGCAGAACGTGTCTATCTGGAAAGATAAGAGAATCTCTGCTAATTTTCCTTATAAGGTTGAGTTTATTGCTGAAGATATCCAAGGTCCTCGTGGTCCTCTCAAGTTCGTTGCTCACCTCAAGGATGATGAATTCGAATTACTCTCTGAGTAATTCTAATAATTCCTTTTTATCCTCAATCAATTATTATTTCTATTTCAATTTTGTTATATATCATATTACATGAATATAGTTAGATTAGAGGCATTTGTGTCCTCTAATCTACAATACAATGTATCTCCTATATATTATCACTTTCTGATTCATAATCTCTGATTCATAATCTGATTTTCAAATTGTGAGGTCTTTTAAGTAATGAATGGAAATAAATTGTTAACTCAAATCCAGTAACAAAATTTATGCAAAGAAATTGTTGTTAACTCAAATCCAGGAACAAAATTTTTACAATTCCGAGAAGAAAAAAAATCAAGCTCGGTCACAAAATAATTTGAATAAATAAACAGGACAGAGTTACTACAGTCTCAACATGAGCTGGTTACTCCTAATTACAAATTATTCTGTGCATTAATAAGATCAGCTGACATTGATGAAGGTATTCTGTGACGGGTCAAAATTCTAGAAGTGGCGATTTTTGCTGCTTCACAGTTCAAGACAATGACCCTATTGTCGTCCAAATCAAAATGCAAGCTTTCTGTGTTACAGTTTTCAACAAGTTTGCGTAAGTGTTCCAGATTGTCAATTTCTGTTCCATTAACCTTCAAAACCTGAGTATCACAATTATCTTATTAGCGAATAGGCAATAAAAATATCCATTTCAAGTGAACAAAATAAACTTGTAACAATCATCACAATGTGCATGGAGCTTCTTCACAAGAAAAGAGAAGAGTTGCGCAACAAAAGGTGCTTTATCTTTGTCAAAACATCACACTCAGACATGTGCTTAATAATAGCTAAAGCATTAACAAGATGGCACCTACCTGTAAGTCTGCAAGACGCTCGTATCCAGCGTTGATATCATCCATCAGGACCTAAAATCAGTAAGATATTTATTAATAAATCGATGCCAAAACCAAATATCTGCATTAATTTGCCAAAACCAACTAATTTTGAATTTTTTAATGTATAGCAATTTACCATCATCTTACATTAGAGTTAAAAAGATGCTAACCTGTGATAAAATAACAAGTTGTTGATTTTCTTTCTTGGGTAATTCCCTCAAAGCCCGTTCACACAAACGACGAGGTGAAGCATTATACCAGTCCTCCCCATACTCATGAAGGTATGGCTGAGTGAGTGGAACAAATACCAGACCAGCAAAAATGTAATAACTTGGAAGTTTATCGAACTGGTGAACTGGAACTAAAGGTTGAATCTGAAATATAGACAGTAACATCAACAAAACAATTATTCAAAAGCAACTTTATTACTACAAACAATTCTGACACTTGCAAGTATAGCAAAACAGTAAAATACAATAAGCAAAACTTATCAAGTAGCATGCAATGAACAAGAACTACACATAACAAACATATCCATAGCAAGGTCAATATGATGTGAATAAACATGCAACAGGCCGTATGTGTTAGAAACCGGAGAATAAATAATTTGGTTGAGTGGTTCAGTATATATATAAAACTTACAGGTTGGAGAATAATACTGAGTTCAATCTCTTGGCCGTCACGCAGAACTCTGACTAATGCTTTTTCATTAAGCTTCTTCATAGACACCAAGTGATCAAATGTTATCCGTTCTCTGTTTCTGAAAGGAACTGCATCGTATGTGATATAAACCTCTATTAGTTTGATGCTTCCGGTGCATGAGTAAAGCAAAGACAGAAACTCATATAAATGAAATAAATTTCATGTTTGTTGCCGTCTTAAACCTTCCCGTATTACATATCACAGTCATGCCCGAGGCTGGGATTTCACAAAGTTTGTTTATAGAGTAAGTAAGAAAATCCAAGAAAAGAAATTGAAAGAATATACCTGTACCATCATTTGCTATAGGCACCCCATCAAATGAAAGTATAATATCATCTTTCTTCAAAACCTTGTATGCATCTGAAAGTGGGTTTATTTTGTTTACAAGGACCCCAGTCATGCCAGGTTGCATACCAAAATGGTTTCTGAGATGCACATTTTCAGTAGTCTGGCACGATAAACCCAGGGAGCAAAATCCAATGTATTTTCCATTTTCTTCTACACCAGATATAAAATGCTTTATTACAGGTACAGGTATGATGTAACTGCAACAGCCAATATGAAAAGAAGTTGTCTATTATGCCGAAAATATGTTTCATCAGACCAACAGAATACCAAATACTTCATGATAGATTGATAGCTTGCATGGTTTTTGCATTCCGGTCTAGTAATTTTTAGGGGTAACTGATCTCTCAGACTTGGTCCTAATACTCTTTCCTTACCTTTCTTCTCTGTCACACCCGGTTGAGCTGTCCTATAGGTATAATTATTTCAGCTCTATCAAAAGATTCAAACTAAGTGAAGATCTATAATCATCAATGTGAAAATCTTCTCCACTAATTTGTATCTATTATATTATCTAAGCTTTTCTTTTTATTTCATATCTTACTTGCTAGCTTTGAATACTCTGATTTACAAAGCTTTCCCTGTTGTTTTTTCAAACTATACTACCTCCTTTTGTTATTGTTTTGATCACTCCACTCGTAACCTGGTTGGACTTATTTTTATTCCTCAGTTTCTTATGATGATACTACAATTAACTAATGCTACATACAGAAACTAATGACCGATTAAGGGGTTAATGAATCTTGTTAAATTTTTTAACCCTAGAAAAATAAAGACAGAAAATAAAAGGACTTACCCAATATTCTCGGCACCAGAAAGATTTTGGAATGCTACACCAGCAACTCTCTTGCCCATAATAGCCGGACCACCACTATTCCCCGGATTTATGGCTGCATCAATCTGTATTGCCATAAGCTGTGACGCACCGTGAACATACTGTGTAGGTTCAACCCTAGAAACAACCCCTTTAGTGACTGAAATGGTATCGCCTCCTTGAGGGTATCCTACAACAGCAACAGCTTGTTGCAGAAAAGGAATGTCTCCAAACTCCAAAGGAATCATTCCATCCCAAAACTCATCAGAGTCAACAATTAATAAAGCTAAGTCACATTCATGACCAACAGCTTTCACTTGTGCTCTATACTTGTTTGGAGATCCATGTTTCCTTACGAGTACAAATGAATGATCAGCTACAACATGAGCATTGGTAAGAATCTTTCTCCCTAGAATTACAAACCCTGCATTATTATCATCATAAACAAAGATTTATAGGTTATATTTCGACATGAAATTCCTTATAACAGAATCTGTTATTGATTATGTCAATCATTATTTGATTAATTAAATAATTAATTTAACAAACCCGAGCCCATAGATTCGCGCTGGGATTTGTTCTGCCAAGGGAGTAAGTAGTTGGGACTGCATGAAACTGTGAAGATTTTGACAACAGAATTGAATGCAAGCTCGACGGCTGTATTATTATTAGTATGTGTGAATGCGGAGTTGCGGCGAGACTGAGCCTTCTTCCTTACTCTTAACGATGATGGCGGCTTTGTAGAGTTTGTGGAGTTAGTTTGTTGGGTCTCAGTGTTGGGAACTACAACTGAAACTGAGTGGAAATAGTTAGCAGCGGTGAACGTTGATTGAGGAGCCAAACGAAGGTGTTTGAAAGGATGGGGAACTAAGGCGGGGGAAGAGAGAATACTCCGAGCTAGACGGACAAATCTACCCATTGTTCAATTCAACGGCCGCCACACTACAGCAGCAGAGGGTGGTTGGTTAGTTAGTTTGCCACACGGCGGCGGGGCAGGGCAGGGCAGGTAAACAACACTTCCCACGATATAATTCACAAAATTTATTGATACTTACACCATCTCATCATCTGCTCGCACCCCCTTTACTTTACTAAAAAGTTTTGTTTACCATATTCTATTAGGTGTGAAACTACAATTTTCATTAAATCATTTAAATTTTGTATTGTTTAGAAAAATCGATTTTAAATATTTATTAATATTTATGAATTAATTAAAGTTATTAAATTAGTTGTAACTATTAAATTTAGATGAAAAGATTGAAAAAAGGAGAATGTTTTACTTGTGCTTTTAAAGTAATTTTTGGTGTATTTTTACATTGGACAAATGTAGTATTTACACTACTATAAATGCAACTATTACACTAATGTAATAATTGGACTTACTATTTTAACTTTGACAAATTATTATCTACAATAATTCGCCATTATTATTTAGATAGATTTTCTAAATAATAATATTATAACACTTCTCCTTTGAAATATCTATTAAGGTGCTCCATCGAAGTCTTATCAAAGAGAGGCTTATGGGACCATATATTGTCTCGTTAAAAACCTTATTAGAAAAAATCCATTGGGATAAAAATCTTAATAAGGGAAAAAGAGTACAACATGATGCTCCCCCTCAACATAACATATATAGTTCTTTTTTAAAGATCTCGAAGTTGACGCATTCTAATATTTTGTACATGTTTCTTGAAAATTGATGTAAGAAGTGTCTTTGTGAAGAGATTTGTCATATTATCACATGAACGAATATATTGAATATTAACCTCTTTGTTTCTTTCAAGTTCTTGTGTGAATGAGAAGAACTTTTGAGGGATATGATTGGTTCTGTCACTTTCGATGTAACCTTCTTTCATCTGGGTAACACATGCAGCGTTGTCTTCATACAAGATTGTTGGATTATTATCAACGGGTAAACCAGATGATCCTTGGATATGTCTTGTTACCGATCGTAACCATCTACATTCTTTGCTTACTTCATGAAGAGCAATTACTTCAGCATGATTTGAAGAAGTTGATACAAGTGTTTGCTTTTGTGATCTCCATGATATTGCAGTGTTACCATATGTAAATATATATCCAGTCTGTGATTTAGCATTATGTGATCTAACAAATATCCTTCATCTACATAACTAAGTAAAACTGCTTGTGTATTGTTAGAATAAAACAAACCAAGGCCTGATGTACCTCGAAGATATCGGAATATATGTTTTATTCCTTTCCAATGTCTTTTTGTAGGAAATGAATTGAATATTTCTAATAAATTTACTACAAAAGCTATATAAGGTCTTGTATAGTTAGCAAGGTACATGAGTGTCCCAATGACACTAAGGTATGGTACTTCGGAGTCAAGATCTTCTTCATTACCTTCCTTAGGTCTAAATGGATCATTTTTAATGCTAAGTGTTCTACCCATCATTAGAGTACTTAAAGGGTTTGCTTTGTCCATGTTAAACCTTTTCAATGCCCTTTCTGTATAATTTGATTGATGTACCAATATATCATTTTTAGTATACTCAATTTGTAAACCAAGGCAGAACTTTGTTTTTTCCAAATCTTTCATTTCGAATTATTTATTTAATTAATCTTTTGCTTCCTTTATTTCTCTATTAGTTCCAACGATATTTAAATCATCAACATAGACATCAACTATTACAAAATCGTATATCGTTTTTCTTATAAAAACGCAAGGGCAAATAGGACTATTTTCATAGCCTTCTTTAAACAAATATTCACTTAGCCTATCATACCATATGCGTCCTGATTGTTTTAATCCATACAATGACCTTTGCAACTTAATTGCATACATTTCTCTAGATTTTGTTGTCTCGGACATTTTAAATCCTTCTGGAATTTTCATGTATATATCAATATCAAGTGATTCATACAAATAAGCAGTAACAACATCCATAAGATACATATCAAGATTGTTAAATACTGATAAACCAATTAAATAACAAAAATTAATGGCATCCATAATAGGAGAATAAGTTACCTCATAAGCGATTACTGGTCTTTGGTAAAAACCTTGTGCAATAAGACGAGCCTTGTACTTGACAATCTCATTTTTCTCATTTGGTTTTCTTACAAAGATCCACTTATACCCAACCGGTTTCACATCTTTTGGTATAGTTGTAATGGGGCCAAATAGTTTTTGATTTTTAAGAGAATTTAATTCAATATCTATTGCATCCTTCCAATTTTTCCAATCATGTCTATTTTGAAATTCATTCATAGTTCTTGGTTCGGGATCATCATTTCACATATTTCATGTATATTTATATCTTTTCGGTTCCACGAAGTTTCCGTATCAACATAATTAATTGAAATTTCAAGATTATTCTTATTTTCATTTTTATTATTAAATGATCTCATTATCATCATCTTGTGCTTCTTCGATAGCACATTTTTCAATTTTGGATTTATTATTATCTAGTGTCTTTTCAAGACCACTTTCTATCATATTCACCTTTTCTATTCCTTTTCTTTTTCGGGAATTTATGTCTTTGGATCCCATAGGTCGGCCACGCTTCAAGTGTGCCTTAGATGTACTTGCTACATCATTTAGATTTCAAATCTCAATCCGAGTTGGGACATTTGTAGCTGGTATGTGTGACTTTGTCACTCTTTTCAAATCAGTAAAAGAATCTGGCAATTGATTTGCTAAATCTTGTAAGTGCACAATTTTATTTATATTTTCTTCCCATGATTTATTATATGGGTCCTAATGTAATAAATGGGGTATAGACCATGTTATCTCATTTTCTATATTTTTTTATTTTCTCCCCCTAGTGTTGAAAATTTTGTTTCGTCAAAATGACAATCAGTAAATCTTGACTGAAAAACATCACATGTTGAAGGTTCGAGATATCTAATAATAGAAGGTGATTTATACTCCACATATATTCTCATCCTCCTTTGAGGTCCCATCTTTTTTCTATTTGGTGGAGATATTGGGACATATATTGCACAACTAAATATCTTTAAATGAGAAATATTTGGTTCCTTACCAATTGCAAGTTGATAAGGTGTATGTTTATGATTAGCATTTGGCCTTAGACGGATGAGTGTTGCAGCATGTAAAACTGCATGACCCCAAACGGTAACTGGCTGTTTAGTTTTCATAATTAATGGTCTAGCAATATATTGAATACGTTTGATTAAAGACTCGGCTAAACCATTTCGTGTATGCACATGAGGAACATGATGTTCAACAGTAATTCCAATTGACACACAATAATTATTAAATGATTCAGATGTAAACTCACCAGCATTGTCAAGTCTAATTTTCTTTATAGTGTAATCAGGAAATTGATCCCTTAGTTTAATCATTTGTACAAGAAATCTTGCAAATGCCATATCACGACTTGAAAGTAAACATACATATGGCCATCTACTAGATGCATCAATTATTACCATAAAGTACCTGAATGATCTTGGCTATGGATGGATAGGTCCACATATATCGCCTTGAATTCTTTCAAGAAATGCAGGTGATTCTGTTTGAATCTTACATGGTAAATGATTTGTTATTAGTTTTCCAAGAGAGCAAACTTCGCATGGTTTATCTTCTTTTGTAAGTTTTAAACCTTTCAATGGATGACCATGGGTATTTTCAACTATTTTACGCATCATTGTTGAATCAGGGTGACCTAAACGATCATGCCATTAAGTCATCATTTTGGGATCTTCTTTTACTACTAAATTACATTCAATTGCATGTATATGAGTATAATTTAATCTAGGAGGCAATTTTGGTAGTTTTTTTAAAGTTTTCTTCTTTCCCAAAACATTAGTTGTAATGTTAATATATTTCATATTACCTTCAGTTGCAGTTTCAGTATCATATCCTTGACGATATATGTCATTAAAACTCAACAAAATTTTCTTTGATTTTGGAGAGTATAAAACATTATTAATTGTTGGTGCAAAGGTAGAATAAATGATGAATAGAGAAATATTCTATTAAGAGAATTATGGCTACACACAACCACACAAATTGCAATGATTGCTACCCTATTTATAAGCTAAAACTAGGGTTACTAGAATAAGATAAAAATACTAAAATACCCTCTAACAAACTTAGGGGCTAAGAAAATAGTACAACTAATAAATATGAATTACTTCTAATACCATCCCTTAATTCATATTCCATCAAAACTTGTAACACCAATTCCATCCCTTAGTCTGAGAAATTGATCAGTCTTGATAGCTTTCGTCAGAACATCTGCCAACTGTTTCTGAGTGCTGCAGTGTACAACTTCTAACACTCCACTCTGAACTTGATGTCTTAGAAAATGATACTTGGTCTCAATATGCTTGCTTCTCCCATGACACACTGGGTTTCTGGAAAGATTGATTGCAGACTTGTTGTCAATCATCAGCTTCAGAGGTTTGTTTATTTTAATCTTCAGATTCTGCAACAGATTCAGAATCCACATAGCTTGGCATGCAGTAACAGCACCTGCAATGTATTCAGCTTCACAGGTTGATAACGCCACAACAGGTTGCTTCTTGGAACACCAAGAAATGGGACCTCCCAGAAATTTGAACAAGTACCCAGAGGTACTTCTTTTGTCAACTTTGTCTCCACACCAATCAAAATCTGAATAACTCAGAAGTTCTAACTCATTCTTTCTTCCAGAAGGAAATATCACTCCATACTTCAGAGTTCCTTTGATATACCTCAGAATCCTGACAACAGCTTCGTAATGGGACCACTTAGGTTTACTCATGAACCTACTAACCATCCCAACAGAATAACAAATATCAGGTCTCGTATTGCACAGATACCTCAGAGAACCAACCAACTGTTTGAAGGTTGTAGCGTCCACATCCTTTCCATCAGAGTCAGAATCCAGTTTCTGATTTGTATCAGAAGGTGTGACAGTAATCTTACAATTCTTCAGTTCAAAT